AATATCTCACAAAGATAATATGTCAGTAAATGCATTGTGAATTGTGATTTACGGTCTTCTGTCATGAGTTGTTGGGTCCGGAAGCTGCCGGACTATTTTGGAAGCGGTTTTCACATCAAATACTTTGTAGAGATGCCTTAAGAGCGGCCAAATATATTATAACTTCTCGGCGTCAGCACACGTGTCATCTGTAGATACTCTCATCGGCACAAAGATTCCAATTATTTAGCATTTAATGTTGATATGCTTACTTCAAATAGTAAAAAACTTATACTGCAATGTTGTATAGTGACCAATTGTACTACACTATAAATAGCTTTTGGATTTTCACCATAAATGTAGAGATAGTAAGAAAGATTTGGAGAATAATCTCTTTAGAAATATTGAAGGATAAAAACCGAACAACATTCTATTTCGGCATTCACTAACTATTTGTTTTCTTGGATATTTTTACAATTAAAATTGCTTATTCAGGTTGCATCAATTTTTAGTGAGAAACACTACTTCTATAAATACTTTATATGCCACAAATTCATAAAAATATACCGAAATCTAAAGAGCCAAGTGCTCTTAATTACATTTTAAAGTTCGTATTGCATCGTGTGTTATTCTTTTATTTTTCTTAAACTCTTTAGAATTCTGAAACACTAATATTGTCTTCGAACACTTGTGATATATCGGCCCCGTTTGGTAGATAGCGGATTGAAGGTAAATTAGCGGATTTGACTTAATTGAGAGGTTTGACCCGTCAAATCCGCTATTGAGTCTGTTTGGTAAATAGCTTATTTGATAAGCTTTTTGGGCTCAAACCTCTAATTTAGAAAAAGCTCATTAGAGGAGCTTTTTGGGGATAGAGGATTCACAAAAAAACTTTTTACTTGGAACTTTTTAATTTGTATTATTTATTTTAAAATCTATATTGGTTTATGGTGCTAATAAATAATAATATGTCATCCATATGATTAATTTATCTAGAAAAATGTAAAATTCATCACTTCTTCATCAAGTTTTAGGCAATTTAAAGAAAAAAATAATATATTTATAAATTACCAACTAAAGAATATTAATGTTTTAATATATTATTATTAAAAAAATACACCCTAAATAATAAAATATTCTTATTGGTCATTTTGTAATGTCAAACAGCTATAAGCTTTCAGCTATTTACCAAACACTTATTTAAAAACCGCTAATGCAATCTGCTGGTCAAATCAGCTAATATAATCCGCTATCCACTATCCGCTGATACAATCTGCTATCCGCTATCCGCTATCCGCTGATCACCAAACAAGGCCATCATGGAATACCAATATATACGATTCAAATGTCGTCGTTTTTTGAAGTGTGGCCATTTTACGGGATAATTTCATGATAAGGAGAATGTAATTTTTATATGTTTTAGACTTCATTTTCCATATATTTTTTCCTTTTTTTCTTAAACCATTTTCAGCCAATCACATACCAAAATACATAACGAGTAAGATATTGCAACTTATGAAAATATGTAGCAATAATTACTAATTTGGAATTTTTCAAAAGATAACTAGGTGTAGATCGATGGTTAAATATTAACAAAGCGTGAAAGCGAATAAATTTTGGATTTAGTGAAAAAAAAAACTTTATTAACAGAAATGAATTTTCCTTTAACACCAAAGTCATAATAAGATTTGTTATATAATTGCACCCTACACTCTTATGCATCATAATAATTTCAAAATAAATTGAGGATTTTGTCTTCTTTACTCTTTTTTTTTCTTTCTCTCCTTTATGAGAAGAAATGGTGAAAGTTTTTGAAATTTGGTGGCCGCCAGAGAACTTATGTCATGAATCATCTAACTTGACATATAATTCAATTTGACAGATTTTAGCTTTTATATTTTTTACTCATATTGGGCATTATAAAACAAAATTTGTAATTTGATGGCTTGATATTTTTGAAGGGCAGTTGAATATTGCCTTTAAACAAATGAAACAGACGTGTTGTGGTATCTAGACTGCTTTGGGTAGTCCTCCTATTCCGACTAGTGAGTCAGTTGTAATTACGTATTTAGTGAATGAATTCTATCGTTTCGAAAAAAAAAAAAAAAGTTTGACTCTTTTGTTACCACATATATTAAGTAAAAAATTGGTACAAATTACATTAAAAGAAAAAACATACTATTATTATACACCTATACACTCTATAACATTCTCTCAACTGCAAAATGCTGGTCTATAAATCACCACCATCCATGAACTTCCTCATACACCATCTTCATTCTTTACTTCTCAAAGCCTCATTAACTACTAAATTGAGTCAAAATAACATGTCTTCCTTCATAACCTTTTCCACTCTTCATTTCCTTTTTCTACTTTATATAGCCTCAATCTTTGTTGAGCTCCATGCCAATGGTAGCTCAAACTCATTAATCCTAAGTTTAACTCACTCGAGGTCGAAAATTCGTCCTACTCGAAAACTCGACTATTATGATTACACGTCCAAGAAAACACCCAATGGCATCGTGCCACTCAACGAGCTACGAGACGGGCACGTTATGTCCCTCTCAGTAGGCTCTCCTTCTCAAACCATCGACAACTTAGTCCTTAGCACGGGTAGCGATCTCGTCTGGATGCATTGTGGGACTTTATCCAACCATTTCAAATGCATCGATTGCACTGACTCGTACTATACTAAATACAATACCTCGTTTTTCAATCCTTCCTTGTCAAAGTCGATAGCAAGCGAGCCTTGCACGAGTCCTCTTTGTGCTGATATTCATAACTCCGACAATTACGACACTTGCACCTCGGCCGGTTGCGCGTTGAGGGACACAGTCAACGACAAGTGCTCTAAACCGTGCCCTTTGTTTTCGTACTCTTATGTCGATGGGCCTGTGGCCGGGTTTCTTGCTAATGACACCATCGTACTCCACGCAAAGAATCAACCCAATACGCGGCAATATATTTCTTTCGGTTGTGTTCAATCCTCATATAGAATGCCGTTGGGTCTCATAGGGTTCGGAAAAGGCCCGCTCTCACTCCTTTCGCAGCTAGGGTTTACGAATAACGGGTTCGCTTATTGCTTTTTATCTTTCGATTTATCGAGCAACCCTAATGTTTCGGCCCCACTAATTCTAGGCCACCTAGCGACATCCTTGAAAGAGCATTTGCAGTTCACCCGAATGCTATTGAATCCCATCTCCCAGAATTTGTACTACATTGGTCTCGAGAGTGTTACCGTGGGCAACAAGGTAAATATACAAGCCCCCAAAAGCTTGAGAGTGTTTAGCCGGTCGGGTGAAGGCGGCATGTTGATCGACTCCTCAACTAGCAACACGCATTTACCCGACCCTCTTTATTCGCAACTTCAGGAGGCGATAAAGTCCATGGTAAAATACAATCGGGCCTCAGACGTGGAGGCTAAGTCGTCGTTTGACCTATGTTACCAAGTCCCTACCAAGTATGCGAAACCCCGCGGTTTTCCCTCGATCACTTTCCATTTCTTGAACAATGTGAGCCTTAAACTACCCCCCGAGAATGTCTTTTATAAGGTGGCTCCACCCAACGGCTCGTTTAGGCCTGTGTGTCTAATTATGCAGAAAATGGATGACGACGAGGCGGCAGCCGCAGTGTTTGGAAGCTTCCAACAGCAGAACATCGAAGTTGTTTATGATCTACAGAACGAGAGAGTCGGATTTCAGACAGTTGACTGTGTCTCGTACGGAAAGCAACTTGGGCTTTGAATGGACATCAACTAGTGAAAAAGCTCTATAGTTTTCAACTTCTTTACTTTTCTTTTCTTTTTTTTTTTTTTGTTTTTAATTTTCTCCCGTTGTAATCGACCTTTTGCATCCAATAAATGTATGGACAACATATATATTAATGAACTCTAATATAAACAAGAATATACAGGGGAGCTCTGATCATTTGATTCATCAAAAAATAAAGCAAGTTATAACAAATTAATGAGCCCCCATTTGGATATACGGATGAAATCTTTTCATCAAAGTTGTTCACAAATGTTACACACATTATTACATCCTAAATTCAATTGCATATTCTTAAGGAAATTACAAACAAGATCCCAAATTAGCTAAAGTGCAATGAGGAGTTTCTTGAACAAACTTTGCAATTGAGGGCCAACATTAGTGTACCAATCTCCTTTGCTATACATAACTTCAATTACTAGAGCGAAAATTGAGAATACGGTAAAGTTGAGGGGCTGGAATTTTAGTCGGTTNAAAAAAAAAAAAAAATAAAAATGAGTGGAAAAAAACCAAAAGGCCTCGAATAATCCGTTTTTCATTAGAAAACGTATTACAGAAATACGTTTTTATGTATAAAACGGATTATGCGAATCCGTTTTCCTAATAAAAAATTAATTAACGCAATAAACGTAATTAAGTTAATTAAAATACGGTAAAACGTATTCCACAAATACGTTTTAAATTAAAAAAATCTCAAAACGTATTTTCCGAATACGTTTTATATTAAAAAATAATTATATATTATTTTTTAATTATAAAACGTATTATTCAAATACGTTTTGTAAATAAAATTAATATTTACGATTTTGAATACCAATTTTTCCAGAAAATAATAATTAAAAATATAAAACGTATTGTCGAAATACGTTTTTCAACCCTAATTAAAAATATAAAACGATTGTAATCGTATGTGTCAATTGGTGCTATATGTCAACTTCTGGTGGGTTGCGTCAACTTAGCCTAAATATCGGCTTCTAGTGTTTTGTAATCATATATCACTATAAGAATTTATTAAAATGCCACGAGAAGAGAATTACCAACGGATCACCAAAAGATTAACACTGCATTATATATATAATGTTTTCAAACCCAACAACTAACAAAATATAGAAATGAAAAATTATATCTTTGTATTATATTAACAAATAGTGACCGAAATTTTCATTAGTATACACCAAGAAATTTACAACACGTGTCAATTTTGTGTGCTTTGTAATCATATGTGTCAATTGATGCTTCATAATCCTATGTTTCAACTTTTGTTGAGCCGAAATGTCGACTTCTGATGCTTTGTAATCACCAATAGAAGGGGATTACCACCGGATCACCAATGGATTAACACTGCATTATACATACAACTTTATTAAACCCAACATCTAACAAAATATAGCAATGAAATATTATATCTTTGCATTCAATTGACAAATAATAACGAAAAACACCAAAAAATTTACAATACGTGTCAGTTTTGTGTGCTTTGTAATTGTATGTGTCAATTAGTGTTTCATAATCCTATGTTTCAACTTTTGAAATGTCAATTTCTGGTGTTTTATAATTATATGTATCAATTTTTGTGCTTTGTAATCATATGTGTCAATTGGTATTTCGTAATCCTATATGTGAACTTATGGCATGACTTTCACAAGTTAATAGCTTTAGTATATTTGACAAATTTTCACGTATAATATATTAAATGAATCATGCATATATTGCTTAATAACTAAATTATCTATTAATATAAATCGAAATTAATAAAATTATTTTCCAATTAAGTAAATTTATTTGTCAATCCAATAATAGGGATTACAAAATTATTATAATATACAATAAGTAAATCGTATCACTTTAAATATAAATAAATTGTACAATTTTTCAAAGAAATATTTAAAATCTAAAACATAAAATTATCTGTTTTTGTTTAATAAATATAATTTTATTAACAACACGACCATATAATAGACGGTTGTTTGTACTCTACTAGTTATTAATATTTGAGAATCTGCATAATTCTCCCTTAATTTCAGTCTAAATTAAGATAATAATAATAATTAAAGAAAACAAAAGGAAGGGACAATGTTTCGTAAATTTTCAAAACTTATAGCGAATTTTCCTTTTACATACAAGTATAAAAGATATCACTACAACTTCTCATAAAGCACAACATCAAAAGCAATGGAGACATTAGTACTTGCACAAAAAACAGAACATAGTTAACTCCATAATCTTTTGATGATTACACGGAGAGAATGAAAAAATAAAAAATAAAAATTGTTAAGGACATGTTTGTTTATGAAATTTTTCACAAAAATTCCAACATTTTAACCCATTCACTTTTTTTAACTCAACTTTAACTCAACCCTACTATTATCAGAATTATCAATATAATTAAATAATATCAATATAATTAAATAATATCAATCAATCATTCATACACACCACATCAACCTTAATTTACTATTCATCCACTCACATTATTTTAACTAACCATCACTTCATATCTCTCTCCCTCTTACTTTTACATCAAATTAATTTTAATTATTTTATTATAAATATTATTTTAATATACCCACTAACAACTAACCATACCACCTTTTTCAAAATTAACCAAATCAAACCAAAAATTTTAAACAAAACCAAAATTTCTTATAAACAAACATGCTCTTAGTTTTCTCGTAGTTTCTTAACTTTGTAACTTGACGGGTCCTTGAAGGAAGCCATTGACAAAGAAAATCCCACGCGATGAAGCTTCGCCTTGTCCTTGTTGAACGCTTTGTTAACTTCATCTTTGAGCTCCATAAAACGCTTTCGTTTCATTTTATGTTCTTCCGGTGTGCCCTTCTCGAGATAGGACAAATCATCTTCCATAAACTTATCCAGAACATGTGAGCAATTCGGAAAATATCGTCTTCCCAACTCAACTGCCAACAAGTAGTGTTAATTTTTAATTTTATTGCATCTGAGGTTGTGTTTGGTAAGCATATAAGCTAGCTTATAAGCTTCATGTATTCAAATAAGTTTCGTTCAGTAGGAAGAGTTTTCTTATCTCAAATGATTCATTTGGTAACTTTTCAAATAAGCCCACTGAAATTTTTATTTCAACTAGCCCGGTTTATTAGTTAATTTTATTAAACACTTTTATCATATAAGCTAGTTTTTCAGTCATAAGATATCAGTTATAAGCTTGAAATTCACTTAGAAACTATAAACTAGCTTATTACCTAGGTTTACCAAACATAGTCTTAACCAGTTTACTTCAAAATTTAAAGTAGTTTAATTCTACCTGTTCTTGAGAGTGTTTCGATTCTTGAAAGAAGCTTCTTGTTTTGAGTGATGGGTGTCTCATTCAGATCAACCTCCATCAAGTTCCCGCTTGAGCCTCTCGAGTACAAGAGACTGGTGAGCTCTGTTGTGGTCTCGGCGTGTGCAATTTCCATAGCTAGCTTAGCTTCCGTAGGGAAAAACATACGCGCAAATGCCACTGGAATACACACGAATTTACAAACTTAGTTGCCGTTATCATGTAAGCAAAAAAAATAAAATAAAAAATAAAAAATAAAACATAAAATAAATGATTCTACAAAATGAAAGGTTTTGTGGACTGAGAACTACAACAATGATTGCACAACTCGAAAATTCGATTCAACATTAAGTTGCCTTATGCTCGAAAGTCGAAAGTACAGAAATTTCGATTAGAAAGAAGAAAGATCTCCCAGGCATAATGTCAGGATATCCCAAGATTATCTCAAAACACACAAAAGAAAATGGCAATTTCCCCACCGATCTCTCTACTCCAAAACATTCTTCAATTTAAGGCCAAATGACTTTTCTCTTTATTTCATCCTATTCCAGATATTAAACTTAATTGAACAACGAATATCAATTAAAACTATGTCTGGTAACCAAATAAGCCTTAAGCTTCTTATAGCGTATTTGGTTAGCTTATAAGGTTCTTGTATTGAAATAAGCTTCATTTGGTAGGACAAAATTTTTTGAAAGACTCGAGCTTATCTCATAAGCTTCTACGCGTAGCTTTTCAAATAAGCTCGTTGCAATTATTATTTCAGCTACCTTATCAACTAATTTTACCAAGCACTTTTATTATATAAGCTAGTTTTTCAGCTATAAGTCATAAGCTATAAGTTATAAGCTCAAAAATCACTCATAAGCAATAAGCTAGCTTTTCAACTAGTTTTACCAAACATAGCCTAAGATGACCGACATGTAGCAGAACATTTCAGAATATACAGATTCACGTAATAAATACAGTACAAATCATACTCCCGAGCACTGGCATTTTCTCTTCTTAGCTCACCTAACAGATTATCCAACCATAGATAAATTAAGAAAAAAAAAAAAAGAAAAAAACCTCGATCTTCCAAGTAGAGCAACTTCATGTGCAGGTCTTCGGCCACAGCCAGGGGCGAAACCGACTTTTCCCCCACAACCGGATTCCTCCGCATTTCCCTCTCCAACAAATCAACGCACATCCGATCCTTATTATTCGCCTCCCGACCTTTCTCTCTCCTCGTCTCGAAATCCTTCCGCCTCGTCAGCCTCCGGTAGATATCCACCGCCGTTCGCCCCTCGAACGTGCAGTCCGAAGCACAAGCCTCTTTGTTCAAAAGCGAGATTATAAGAGACGGTTCTCTTAGCCTAGCCGCCACGTTGAGCACCGTGAGGCCACGAGGGTTTCGTAAGTTCACGTCCGCAAGGCCAAGGCTGAGGATTTCGGACACTACTTTTGGGTCGCAATATGCAGCCGCGTAGTGTAGGGCATAAGCCTCGTCGAGTGTCGTGTCGGACTCGGTTAGGAGGAGGCGAACGAGCTCGATATCGTCCGAGTCGAGGGCACGGATTATTCTCCTAACGCTTTTCGAGGCCGAGTTGACTCGGTCATTGTCCTGTTCGGGATGAGGAGGAGAAGAATTTAGCCGGAGAAGTTTGACTTCGGTGGCGACAGCTGGCGGGAGCTCCTTCTCGATGAAGATGGTGTCGAGGTCCGAGTGGGCCACTCGGCGAATGCAATGCGTGTAGAGGTGGCTGAGCTGGCAGTGGAAGGCGAGTTTGAGGATGGGGATGATGTCATCAGCGGTGGCCTTGCCGACCATGTTTAGAACGCTGCAATTTTTTTATTTTTTAAATTTTAATTTTCTTAGTCGATAATGGTATAGGAAATTGTAATGATATATTAAATTTAATTATTCCGTACCTTAAATCTCTTTCTATTTCTTCTAGCTTTCTTGATTCTTTATGCATGATTTTATTATCTTCAACTTTTATATTTACGGGTGTCTTTATTCCTTCTCTAAATGTTGATCGTTGACATTCATCATATTTTCATGCATTATGAGTGATATATAGTGATATTTGGCCATGATTATTATGTGATTGTGCACCATTTTGTTTGATTTATTAAACTATGATAGAGGTGTTTTTGTCGTTGTTTTTGCAGGAAATATGCCCGGAAATGCGTTGGAGATGGAATCGGGACGAAAAACGGCGAAAACAGGTGCAGAAGAGGTCACACGACTCGTGTGGACAGTGACACGGGTCGTGTGGGTTGAAGAAATAAGAACTGCATCTACGGCATTTCCACACGAGTCGTGTGGGTTGGGACACGAGTCGTGTGGCTTCACACGACTCGTGTGACCCTGTCGTGTGAGTGCTCGTGTGAGTCTGGGAGTTTGTCGAGAATTGGAGAGAAGTCACACGACTCGTGTGGCATGTCACACGACTCGTGTGACGGCAGACCAAACCTGCGGGGAATAGGATTCTTATGCGTTTTCTTCCCTTTTTCGACCCTGAATGACCCTACAGTATAAAAGAGGCCTTATGAGCTCGTTTTTGGGACTTTGGACACCATTGGAGGCCTAGAGAAAGCACGAAACACACGAGGGATTCGAGGAAGTCAAGATTGAAGATCCGGGAACTAACGGCGACAATAGTTCTTCTTTCTTTTCTCTTTTTCTTCTTCATTGAACTCATGAATATATTTATTTTGAGCTTTGAGAATATGTTTAGTAGCTAAACCTTTTAGGGATTCTAGGATTTGCGAGTACTCGGATTATTTTATGAAGTGATTTTGTTTATTCATTCCGGTTTATCATTCGTTTATCAATTTCTTGTGCTTTTGTTTATTGTGTGAATATAAGGGCCCGTATTTATGCATATTTGTGATTGACTTGAGACCGAGAGGAGATAGTTGATTGCTAGAATTGGGAAATTCATAACGTAAGAGACTAAACAGACCGAGAGGTTGATAGAATCTTGCGAGGGAACTAGAATCTTAGGAGCTTATGGGAGTTGATTGTTCATCTTGAGACCGAGAGGAGATAGATAACAATTAATATCTACGATTTAACTTGTTCGAGAGAAAGGTGTAAATTACTTTAGTGATTATCCCTACGAATGGTAGAATTAAATAAGGTTTGAATGAATAATTAATCTTTGTTAGAATAATCCCGAGGAAAGCATAGCCTAGAATCTATTTTCTCATTCTTGATTTATCTTAGAACAAGCCTTCATTAGTGTTAGAATTTATTTTGCAATCATTCATTAGTTTAGAATAAAATCACCATTCAAATTTGCATTAGACTAAATAATATTTAATCGTTTACATTTTGATACTTGGTTAATTTTGACAACAATCTCTGTGGAATACGACCTTGCTCGCCACTCACTACAGCTATACCGTACACTTGCGGATAGTGAAAATATTTTGCGAACAATCGTAATACTATTTGTACAGTGTTTATATGTATATAACTTATCTTTTTTCTGTCTTCTTCTTTTATTTTTTCTAATCTCTTTTCTATTTGGTTTATTGCAATTAAGGGTGCTTGAAAATTATAATTTGCTTGTTCTATTCTAATCGGTTGTTCTCCATTCATTATTCCGTATTGTATTATATCTTTTCTATTTAATTTTTCTAATATACCATTATTTATTCCTTCTTTCTTTTCTAAATTTAAATTTTCTTTATTTTTTACTTTTGTTACTACCTTCTTATCTAATAATATATCTGATAAATAAATTCCTTGCTCTTCTATATTTTCTATAATATGATATTCGTTGTCCATTATTTATCTTTGATTATCTTACTTTATAAAAGACTTAAGCACTCAAAATAGATGCTTGTTTTCCTGCTTTCTTTATTAACTTCTTAATCATGATAATATCTTCATTACACATGTCGATACGAATGCTATCGATTATTGATCGATGATTATCAGGTGTAGAACTATAAATTTAACTAGATTATCTAACTTTTGTTCATCTTCTTTTAACATTTTTTTATATAAAATAATTTATTTTCTTAACGATTTAAGGCAATTTATATCTTTTACATACTTCTCTTATGGCATATACAAAAGGCAAAAATGATTACTATCCATGAGAAACTAAGAAATAGATAACAAGTTTTAACAAGATAGATATAAGAATACTTGATTAAGAGAGTTACCTGATTCTGTCTGCTCTCAACACAATCCTGGACTTAGTGGCCTTGACGCATACCATCTTTGGCCTTTTCACAGAACTTCCAGTATTCCAGAGAGACTATTGCTCAATCAACTAACACTTTCAATCTTTCTTCTTATATCTTCTAAGTATTTAGAAACTCATTATATATGAATGCATAAAATCTTATGAGAGAGAGTGTTTTAGGAAATGATTTTATTTCGAATTGCTGTGTCTTCAAATGAAGTTTGAGACACTTATTTATAGACAAGAGATATAACTCTGCCTTTTTACATATGGCCTCAAGTGACCGACATATTACATCAAAGAGCCTTAGTGGGAGTGAAGATAAGGTGGGTGGTGACTCACCATCCCATTACATAATGCATGTGGTCCTATCTATTATTACAAATGGCCAATTTTCAAAAGGAGGTGGGATCCTCCATTATCTTCCACTATCTGCTTCATTAGTTGGAGGTGGGATCCTCCACTAACTTTCCACTATCTGCATTATTTTCCTCCTGACGTAAGTGCTTACATCATTCTTGGATCGGTTCAAATTCTCTTGGTGATTCTGAGTTACATTACTCACAAATGTGATCTTCTGCGAATTCTTTCTGTGTCTAATGCAGATTTCTTTCTTAATTATTTCTGGAATCTCGAATTGTATTTTTACTAGTGTATCCAGATATTTATTAAGTAACTTGATATCTAGCTCCGTTGGATCTCGTGCTTGTATACTCCAAATGATAATGGACTTAGCTGCATAATTAATCCATCCATTTATCTTAATGCCTTTGTTTAAAATTATGACATAGTTGTTTAGAAACTAGATTAGTTCATCCTCATGTTGTGCTTGTCCAATGTCTGGGTAGTTACCATTGCTTATTCCAATTTGGCAAAACTTGATTGCTGGTTGTATTACTTCCTACGAGTTCTCCCCCTCTCCAAAAATTGGCGTTGTTGCAAATATCTTCAAGAATCCTTCCTTTTTCCCGAGTACGTGCTTACAGTATTGGATATTTTACAGTTCGTAAAACCTTTTTCTCCAATATATGTTAAACATCCAAGAAATTTTTAAATTTGATTTCTGTTTTGAAGCTGATCTAGAAACTGATCTATTTTTTCAAGTAGATGTTTTTTAGGCTAAATATATCCTCCCTCGTCTATTTTCATTCCCAAAAATTCTGTTTCGGTTTTGCAAATTCTTACTTTTCCTTTACTTAAAATAATTCCTTTATTTCCTAACTGTATTAAAACCTTTGCAAGTTCTTTTAAATGATCTTCTTTTGATCCTTGAGTAAAAATAATTATATCGTCTATATAAGCAAGGCTTATTGATTCTAATCCCTTAAGATTATTATCCATAAATCGTTGATATATGCTAGGTGCTTGTTTAAGTCAAAATGGCATTACATTATATTCAAAGTGGTTTTGAGGTGGACAACTAAATGCTGTTAAAGGTTTAGTTTTTTCATGTAACCTTAACTGCCAATATCCTGATTTAGCATCTAATGTACTATACAATTTTGCCTTTTTAATTCGACTAAAAATATAATCTTGTCTTGGTAACTTATATGCATCTCCTTTAGTAGCTTTATTCATTTCTTTGTAATTTATAACCATTCTTCGTTTTCCTCTTTTTAATTCATTATGATTTTCTACATAGAATGTTGGTGCATTATGTGGACTTGTACTAGGTTGTATAATACCATTTTCTAATATCTTAGTAGTTTCTTCATGAAATTTCTTAACATCTCTTTCTGTATATGGTATCCTATTTGGCACATTGACTTCTTTGCTAGGATCTATAAGTTCAATTTTTACTATCATGTTATTCGTGTTTTTATTTGGATCCAATGGATTTTGACTACATATGTTTTCTAATAGTTGATTTAACATGTTCTTCTAAAGTTATACTTATTACTTTGTAAATTTGAAATGAAACTTATTACCCTGCTGGGGTCAGACACTCGGGTATTACTCTGTTGGGGTCCGACACTCGGGTAGTTGTTTTAGTTGTTTTAGTTGTTTAGTTTGTTGTAGTTGTTGGTGTTGCTGGTTAGTTTTGTTGTGAGTTTTTTATTCTAGCGTTGCTAGCGGGATTCTAGGCGGTCTTTTGACCTGTCCTCCCACTTTTTTCTCCCATTGGGAGCTTTGTATCCTTTTCGCACGTTGTGCGCTTTTGATTTATAATAGTTCCTCTATCGTTTTGGGAAAAAAAAAAAAATCTCCCCCTTTATGAAAGAAGATGTATTATATATTTTTGTAGTAATTATTTTACTAGACTATGTATCTAGTTGTGGACATCTAAGACTTATACTATTTAACCTTTGAATAAATGGACTGTATAACTTAAGAAAGTTATTTCCAATTATTAATGATAAACCTGTATTTTGTTTATAAGACTTGGTAAAGGAAATCGTTTTTCTTCTATTAACAATACTAAGTCTATTGCTCTATAATCAATACTTATTGTTTTGTTATTTGCAATTCTTAATATAATTGGTTTATCTAATGTCTTCCAATATTTACTGGGTAATATGGATTCTTTTGCTAGACATATCGTTGCTCCTATGTCTATATA